CATCCAAAGAATTTCTTTAAATAATCTTTCTCAAAAATTTAATTTAAAAGATGATTTTAGGTTTACCCTTCTAAACTTACAAGAACTGGTACCAGTAACAAATAAATTAGGCCTAACAATAAATAAATTAAAAGATGGTAAAAACTGTAAATTTTGTTTTAAACTTTTAAAAATTCAACAATTAAATAAATAACAATTAGGCTACTATAAAATAAATAACGAATAATAGATTTTGGGGCCCCTTCAAATAGCGGTATTTCTCTTAAAGCTCATGAAAATGTTCATAAAGGTTCAGGTAATATTTAACAAATAACACTTGCGGCTTTGGCACACTCATAGTCCTTCCTGGTGGTAGGCGGTGGTGTTAGAAGGGCGGAAGGTTGCTTGAAGGTCCCCGGAGAAACAGGGCCGTTGGCAGCCCAAGGAGGAGGAAGGTGGAGAGTTCCCCCAGGCGACCCTCTCCGAGGACGACATCCGCAGAACTAAACCTCCCATCCGGGACCTCATCTGACGACTGGCAAAACACTTAAATCATGACTTGAATTGACGACGAACAGAAGAACAAAATTAACAGTGACATCGAAGGATGAACACTGATATTCATCGAAGATAACCAAGTCTTGACAAATCGACAATCGCCGGCCTTCTGGTGAAAATGTGACAGAAGGCGGACATTGACTCTGGGTTGCAGGATTGCTGCCCGACCCAAAACCGACTGAGTTCCGGCGCAAAGCCAGCACTCGCACTATACAAAAAACACTGAGGCGTGACATTGGTGGGACGCTTGGTGGACATGTCACGGCTCAGTTGTAATCAAAATTCTCACTAGGTGGACTTAAATAATAATAATACCAATTCACTGGCTACCTAAGGATTAAAAGCATGCGTGAGTCAGGTTACATGTGTACTAACTCATGCGAAATGCACCGGAGTGACCACCGGGGGAACTGCATGTCAGCCAAATCCATTAGTGTTTGGCAGGATATGAACCTGATACCTCAAGGACTGAGGTCCCACTTCTACTGCCATACCAGGTTACTCCACACACTAGCTAAGCCAACGGAATTTAAATTTTTTTATGGAAAATCGTATTAATTCTCCGGTTAAAGTAATTGGTGGTGGTAAAAAACAATAATTGTTGTGTAAACGTTAGCAATACTATTTTTATATATCTTTTAATTCTTGTATATCTTCAACAACAAAACTCGGGTATCATTATCTCTAGGTTCTCCTGACACATTGCGTTTGTATTCCCTGAATCTCGCTTCTTTTGCAATACAAACGTGTTTTTCTTATCGTCCTTAATTTATGTTCTTTATCCGTTTAATCGGTTCGTTTTCGAATAGACTGGGAATAACTCACCTTGATAACCTGTGGACGCTTAAAGGATTTTGTAATTACTATTGATGTGTGCTAAGTATTTAGGAGTATTGTTCAATCAGCTTAAGTACATTTTATTTAGAAAATTTAATACTGTATTTCAAATTCGTATTTTGTCAAAACCATTTGCTACATTTTTATTATTGTTTGTTTTTAACTTTGCGGTCGTTAACTTTGTATATTTGCTATTTGATTTAATTATTAATTAACGCAAAATGAATGTAATGCTGCTGGAATATGCATTAAAACAAAATTATTTGCAGATACGTACGTTACACACAAATTCCAAAATCATATCCAAACTTACCTATTCATAACTTCATAACTAATTTATTTGAGCAATGTAACGTTTTGTTCAAGGGTTTACAACTAACAGGCATTCTACATGCGTCAGACTTAAATGAAAAATATCTTCTAAGTTATTCAATTTGATATTAATATGATAAATAACTAAGATTTTAAGCGAAGATTGCAAAATACAGAAATATTAATTAATCGAATTTAGATTTAATAATTGTTGGTAAGAACGGGTTTACAAGCCATGATAATTTAATTTTTTTTTTCGTCTCATGGTAATCTTTATTATACAGAATATAATAGATATATTAATTCACCCAATCTTAACCATTACCAGATTTTTTACTTTGAATCTGAAACCAACGTCATATTTCAAAATGTGTTTCAATTTTGGTAAAAATATTTTTGCAATTTGAATATTGAAATTTGTGTGAAAGAATAAAACGAAATCAACTTATCGTTAAACTGTATCGCGGTCCATGCGATACTTTACATTACAGTATTACAGTGGGATTCGATTCCGGGTAAATCTTGTGGAAAGCGCTCGATACCGTAGTGGACTTACGTTCACGTGATTCACTTTAATGGCTTTTACATCTTCAAGTGCTGACGATCAGTTGGCTAACTCCGTGTCGGTAAAAATATGTTTATTTTGTTCGATGTAATCATATATTTTCAACAACACAGTCATATTGTGTGTGATGACCTAAAAATCAAAAACTCTTAAACCAACAAAAAATTTTAATTTTTCATATATGACTTCACACAAAAAGTACAATAGTGTTTTAAATAGTGGTATGTGTGTTTGTGTATCGGTAGGACATACATACTTAGGACACAGTATGACATAGGTTATTTTATTTTTTTTTTAGAGTTTGGCGGCCTCTTTTAACCTTGCATTTGCCCGTCCACATAGACTAACCACCCATGCAAGGATCGTATACAGCAAAGCAAGGAATGCGCCGCTAAGTTCAACTGTACTGATAAAATGTTTTCGGTGGTGACCAGGATCCGAACCCACGATATCGCTCCCTTGGGCCCGAAGTCCGTGACGCTACCGACTGAGCCACCGACTCACTAGATTAAAGTAAGTCTCACTGGAGTTATATAGTGTAATAGACCAGATAGAAAGTACTTTGAAAACCTGCTAAGATTAATGTTCAATTATGAGAAAAATTAGTAGAGCTTATACCAATATCCGTTTCTTCTTGTATTAAGGCTCTTTACTTTTTGTACTCTTCTAAACCATACGAAAATAGCCACTAAAAAATTATAACAAGTAGTAACAAGTAACTTTTTCTCTTCTAGTCTTCCTCTATCAAATCTTTCCACGGTATATTTGGCTTATTTATCTGAATTATAATATGGTTTAAATGAATTAACCGTCATCACTAGGGTGGATATGTACTCAAAATAGGTAACAACAGCTGATCTGTCATGCAGCTGTTTATGACAATGAATCACATATACTCAATGTGTTTTATACTCAATGATCGGCATTTACTGCCTCTTCTTATTAAATTTTCTAGTCATGAAATCATAACAAGACTTGAACTTAAATGGAGTTATAAAGCCCAAAGTACCCATGAGCTTTTGAGAAAATTACAAGTCACACCCCATAAACCATATACTTAAAATGTTCGTCATAACGAGAAACCTTGCGCAAAACTATCCATTATTTCATAAATTGCCCTTTAAGGTCGTAATTCCTTTTTAAAGGGAACTTTCCATATCTTAATATTAAAAATACCTCAGCTGTACTTATTTGTATGTTATTCCTTCAATTTAATACCTTATTAAAATCAGGTGTGATTATGTGTTTGTATTGTATTCTGTTTTGTTTATTTCAGCTTAACCATAGACAAAAAATAATTATTTAATTCCTTTTGCCGATGGCTTAACTTAACCAATCAATAGCTTTATTAATACTTATTAAGTCAAACGGGGTGAAGGCCTTGGGTTTTGCTAGTCTATGTAACTAGAATTTATCTATGTTAGGAGGGGTTTTTTGTCTTTACAGTTTTTTTTCTGTTCAGGGACACCCTGTATATTGTAAACGTGGCAATGGAGGCTTGGATACGTTTAAAACTAGTTAACTTTTACACACTTAGGGCTCGCTCGTTAGCCCTGAACCATAAAAGGTTCAATTACAATACAACGACGATTTCAGTGATTAAAATTGGAGAGCATCGATGACCACATCAACCAATCATGTTCCATTTAACACAAGAATATATTTAAAATAGCAATTTTGTTAGATAGGTATGCCATGTAAACATTGTATTCCCCATTTATTGCATCATACTTTTTACGGTATTATTTACTTTTCAGGACTAAAAAAATATAATTGTTTTTAAACAACCAAAGTTTTTGTTTGGAAATATTATTTTTGGTGGGGCAATATTTATTAAAATAAGGCACTTAAAGAAATGTATGAAATTAATTTTATTGATTCCTCTTTGTTTATATAGTCAGTTTTTTTACTGTGTAATAGAATTTTGTTTAAATACTGCCACCTGTTCTAAATTAATTAGTATAAACAATGAAAACGGTGTTAAAAACCTGTTCCCAGGCCACGCACATGATACTGATGGTTTAAATTGGGTTTGTGTAGTCTTTACATGAATGGAGATTCGTAAATAATGTAGAAGACTTATAAACAATATCAATTCTTTAGTAGAATGGCTTATATTAGTATGCCGAAAAATGAGGTTTATCACACGGTCTAAATGTGTATTTTAAATTAATTATTCACACTACTTGTGACCAGTCTATACGACAAAATCATGAAATTACATTACAAAATTGAGAAGGTCAATTTTTACTAGAATATTTTCATTGTTTGTGACAATGTGTCATTGCAACTGATACTTTTAGTGTTTTATAAATAAATGATATTCTGCTGTTATAGTGGGAATTATATAATATTTAGGTGTGTACGAAGGTAAGCCAAAGCTATTCGTGTACATGTAAGAGGATTGCGGCAATAGCTACAGGTGCTAGAAGCATAAATCTGGATAATCATATTTACAACAGTATTCAGTTCAATAAATCTTGTATAGAATCACCCTTCTTCCCGAATGTGCTATTATGCTGGGAAAATATTTACGACGTGTTTGTATATTACACGTGTGAAGTTATTGGATCAAGGTATGATTTAATTTAATCATTTTTTAATTTTTTATGTTTTTACTTTTTTTTCATTTACTGTATTTTAATTTTAAACGAATCATCATTGGGTATTACATTTGTAAGGGAAAACCAGGTTTTTAAACTAGCTATGGCAGAATTTTGTTAATTATTTATTAACACTACAATGATAAATGACGTATGAGTCCATGATCTCCCTGCTCGGGGTCAAATCAGCAACTTTCATTTTTAAAGGTGAAAACCCCTGGTGGATGAGTAGTTATAGTGTTAGATTGTTAACACATTACATATTTTCTATGTAAACTGTAAATATTTATTGTTTCAAAGTGTTCACACAATTTATAATATACTCCCATCACTATATCCTACATTAAGAAAACATTTAAATACACCTTTATAAGTACACAGATTGCAATAAAATCTACCTGTATCAACTGTTTTATTCACTGCAGTTATAAAAAGGTATTGACGATAACATGGACACTTTAAAGGGCTGTAGGACGGAAACTGGATTTTCCTAGCTTTGTAACCAACTCCAATCGATTTCTCGTGGCCAAATACCCCATAATAAAAAAAACAAATTCTAGTCCTAGGACGAAAATAACAGTTTTTCCGTACGCGCGCTTCTTTTAGATTTAATGATTTTTTTATTGCTCTTGACAATTTTTACATTGTGTAGCATGATTATTCTAATATTTACAATGAAATGGGTTACATAGACGTTTTTTGACATGATAGGACAGTAAGCGAATTAATTGACGTTTCTTTGAATATAATTCCATAAAAAAGCAAAGCAAAATGGAACCAACCCTTGCCTTTGCGTTTTATACGATTACTAGGTGGTGCCCGTCGGCTTCGCCAGACTTTTGGGTTTTACTCCTGTGAGCCCGCTAAAGCTATATAAAAAAACGTAATGGCATTTCTATTTGCAAATAAAGGAACTCTTGAATACCGTTTGACGTTATTGGATCGTTGGAGTAGTTCTTGGACTCAACTAAATAGGTGTTAGTTTTTGTTGTTTAGTATAAATCTCATAAATACCAGAGAGTTTTTTCAGAGTTATACTAAAAACTAGAACACAGCGTTTCGTTATCTGCAAGATATAGGACCGTACAGATTAAAAACCCTTTACAAATACTTCAATGCAGTGTAAACACAACCAAAGCCTAAAATTACATTGTAATAAGTGAAAAGTGGAAGGAGGTTGATAATACAATCTCAGTTTTTAAAATGTCTTGGTGTAAAACGTGTGTGTTAATTTTAGTTCTGTCTGTATCGTTTGTGAGTGTAAAAGGTTACAAAGATGGCCCCGATTTTCCTCATATTGTGTATATACTTGCAGATGACATGGTATGTTGTGTATTTCATTATAATGTATACAATAAGGCCTATTATACAATGCCTGCAATAGAAGGAGTTTTTTTAACAGAGTTTCTACGCTTTCTAATGTAGGGAAACGCATGTTTTTCCATGTAGTCGGATCCCAAAATATTGGGCCTCGGGATTACTGTAGGACTTAAGTCTAGTGCTGTTACCTTTTGATCAGCTGTTTAAAAGTTATCTCATTGGTTATACAAATTACTTTCAAACAACTTACGTACGTATTTAATTTTCAGATATCTGAAGGTTGTTTCGCTGTCTTGGGTTGTAGTCTAGGAGCTAGGCCAAGTCCCGTGTGCACTTTAATGTGCCCTCAGTTTTGTTGCGGAGCTTTGTTTAACACCTTTGGGAGCTTAAAAAAATACTGGTCACGTGGTCCAAATCATGGTCGTTTGGCCGCCATATTGGAAAATGGCCGCCAAAACGCTAAATTATTTGCTAATACGTATCTCCGCACCCAGTGGTCCGATTTTAATATTCTAAAGCTCATTTTACTCCATATGTGATTGCAAAAAATTTTTGTATTTACACTTTTTTGCTAAACCCATTATTTATTCAGATAAATTAACATTTATAATATTTCCAGTAACGTTGTGGAAATAATTGTTGGTTAATGCGTCCATTCGTTCCAAAAGCTTAAAACTATCAATTAAAAATATATTAAAAGACTTAAACGTGTGTTTAAAATATATATTTACTATTAACTTACATAGAGACATTACTATTTACCTACTGATAAAAGTTATATAGAGACATAGTCTTCCAAAACTTAGGGTTTCAAATCTTATCAAGAATAAGAATTGAAAAATTATGTATGAGGGTTCTTGCAATTGTCTGAAACACTACTCTTACATTTACAAAAGTCACAGCACATTACTTTCAATCTTCTACAGGGACATACAGTTTCTCTGAAACACGTCTGGCAATTACATGGCTTAGGGAAATCTTCAGGGAACGTTGGATCATCTGTCACTTGTGGAATCAGAGAATCACCTTCCTCTACATAACCATAGTCCAAGGGATTAAGTTTCTCAGATGGTTCCAAAGCATGGATCCATTTGTAACATTGCAAGTAGCTTCTTTTTATATGAAGACGGATAGATCTTGAGGTTGGTGCTAAATCTTGAAAGTTTCGTAGTTTCTTGTGATGGAACTGATGAAAACGCAATTTATCCATTGTTGATGAACTTGAAGAAAGTGCTCGAACCAAAAATTCTTCTGCTTTTTTTTCCATGTCCTCATTTAATGGCCCTTTTCCAAACTCTACCAAGAGGTCTCCTGCACAGGATTCAGCTGTTTTTAAAGCTGCTAATTTCGTACTAACCTTGCTTGTAGTGTCGCAGCCGGTTAAAGAGTGAATGGCTGGTAAAGCTGTTAAAACAGTAAGTGGTACTCTGTCTTCAAAGGAGTGAAGTGGGATGTACCGCGATGTTTTGCCTACTCCAAAAGCAATCCACAGCTCTTTAAGTCCTAAGCTTTTCCACTTCTGTAGGTATTGATAGAGTGCACTAACAAAAACATCCGTATCAGTAGAACAGATAACTACGTTGCTTAATTTTGAAGACAATGTTATGTGAGAAATATGGCTTAAGATCCTGTCATCGGCTTCTTCATGATCGGGTTCCAAAGTAGGCTCTTCTTCAACTATCCCGTTTTCAATAGCAAAACATCTTGGCTGACCATCTTTTACTACACCACCGAGATAAATGATAGAAGACGCAGTGAATGAATCCTCTTTCCGGGATATCCATTCAAAAAAGTAAGCTTGCAACAATTCTTTGTTTTTAGATGAGGCCCAGAAAGCGTCAGTATCCACAGGAAGTGGCGTGTTGTCATTTGGGGCTCCATATTCTACAGGTTGTTTCCTTGATCGCTTGGACCTCTCAAACCCTTTAACACTTTTTTCATTATAAACGTCGAAAACAATATCGATGCGTTCACTTTTGTAAGATGCTTGGGATATAGCTATCCAAATGCTTCGTACCAATTCTTCATATGTCTTCAGTTTTAAAGATTTAGTTGGTACCTTCCTTGCAAATGCCATAAAATCTATAACTGTTGCTTTGCCAGGTGATTGAGGAGTTTCGGAATTTGGTGGTGTTTGTAACTTTTTTTCAAGTTCATGAACCAGCTGCGATTTATCTGATTTTGTCAGAAATCCATTTCTGGTCAAAAACAAAGATGTAGAAGTTAATTCATAGGACAAAAGATGATTTATGTCATATCCTCGACACCGTGAAATGTCAATTAAACGCAGAGCATGGGCGGTTTCATTCTTTACGTCCACTTCTAACGGATTATGGGGTTTACTACTCTTTTTTTTTTAGTCTCTTAATTGGTTGCATTAGACTGAGTGACTTATCTTCAAATCGTTCACTCCGAAACTGAGTGTGGGCTGTTTCTCCTACTTGTATGCAGTCTAAAAGATCAGTGCTCATTCCACGATCTATCTTTTGTTTAGTAATAACATTTTGTAGTTCTGTTCCACAGCTAGAGCTTGTATGCATGAACGGATTTCCTTGCTTCTTCATGAAAGTCACAATTCTTCTAACGCATAGCTCATCAGCAGTTGTAGTGTTGTTTGAAAATTCGTGGTGCAGAGTGTATTCATCTTCATAGACAAGTCCACATAAATCACGCAAAACTTCTACTATTTGGACTTTCTCGTGTTTGATTAGATCATGAAGCAACACAGCTTCTTTTCTTCTTGTTACTCCGATGATTCCTCCTTGGCCTTTAGCTGGTTTGTTGTAATTTTGTTCCAGTGCTTGATCCATAGCCACACAACTGAACTTTCGCTGAGTATTTTTCACAACAAAATTTCCGGCTTTGAAATCCGCATAGATATCAGGGAAATCCAGAGGAAGACGTAAGCAGTCCTCTAAAAAAACACTTGCCCACCGAGAATAGTTTGTCTTGTCAAATGCAAAGAAGAGTGGTATTGACCGCATTAAGGCACTAATATTTAGATCCCAATTCCCTTCTCTCTGTGCGAGATTAAGATCTCGTAATATAGGAAAAAGATGTGTCAAGAATTGGTACCAATACCGAAACGTCTCATTTTCTCTACCTTTTTCTATAGCAAATTTTTCTATTTCTTCCATAATATTTGAAATTTGCTGTTTGAGAGTCTTGACTTGAGTGTTTGTACGTGTCGAATCTTTAATCTTGATGCACTCTGTTAAATCCTTAAGATCTTTGGCTGTGGTTTCTGAAAAATTGTTACTTTCCATGAATTTTTCAAGTAATAAACGTTGCAAAGCTTCAGCTAGCATGGAAAATCCTCTTATAGCACGAGAATAATGTTTCCCAGTAAGCACATTCTCGACAATGTTTGGTCCAAACGTTTCAGTTTCAACAAAAATATTTTTTACTCCACTTTCTGCTAAATATTTCCCAAAACAAGCCATAACGTCTTTAGCAAGATGAAAAGCTCCTAAGCCAAGAAAAATATTAGAAAACTCTTCTGGTCGCAGCAGTTGTATTTCTTTGGCTATTCTGTACACTCCCTCATCAGACCAAAGGGATCCTGACTTTTGATTTACTGTTGTCAGACAGTCTTGAAAGTTTTTCATGCACGTATATATTGAACTAAATTCGGTCGCAGGGTGTGGCAATATAGGGGTAAAAGCAGTTTTAGTCTGTGGGATATGTTCACTCGATATCATACTGTTGAATGCACTCCAGGTAGGTATCTTACATTCATTAGGGTCACTTTCTCTGCTTGCGAAATATCTGCACAAACTCCAGATCATATCCTGTTCTTTAGCTGATGAAGCAGGCAGGATAAGGTTAGGTTTAGGTGCTACCGTAAACGTCTCACTGATTTCTCCTCTTTGCACTGGTTTCTTAAAATATTTCAGCTCTTGACATGGCAGGAGACTGTGAAAAGATCGCATTCCTTTGTTGACTATGCTTTGGTTTACTTCAGGGGTATCTTCATCATTGTTACTTTCATTTTGAAATATTACCAGTACTGTGTCATGACTGCCTCCAATACCAGAAGGGGTTTGCTCTAGGTGATCAAAATTATCCATTGCTGCTCTTATTGGTATGTTTGGCTTAACTTCTTTGGGAAGGGGTACTCCTGTGCCCTTAGAGCTACTTAAAATTCTTGTTGCGAGTACCACGTTATGTCTCTCTAACGCATCATAACTAACAGTCATTCCAAGACGGTTCGTAATCTGTAGCAATAATTTTGAACGAGTCATTTCATGGATAGTTTGTGCCAATCCAACATGCAGAGGGGTACTATGTGCACCACTGTGTAGTAGGTAAAATAATATCTGGAAAACTACTACACATTTCAACTGTATTGGGGGAGAAGTCTGGTAGCTGGGAAACATTACTGAGCAAAACTTCAACCAGGATTTCGGTAATGTGTTCTTTGCTTCTGTAAAAGATTGAAATATATCTTTTGCGTTGCAGTCTGTATTACCTAAGTCAAAATTAAAGTTTTTAATGTCACTTCGCAATGTTTCAGCACATTCTTTAACACAATCGTGGCTACGAATTTCTTCTGCAAGTTGTGTCACAGTTATTTGATTTGAAAATACCATTTGTGATACAGATCGATCCCTTGAGTAAGTAAAATGAATAGTATCATCAAAGTGCTCTATCAGTAAACTTTTCATCCTTCTGTTTGAAATTTTGATGTCACTGGGTAAATATTTCTCGTTAAACTCATTGCGTAGGTATCCGATCGAGTATCCTTTGTTTTCAAATTGAAGTTCAGCCACAAACTTAGCAAATGTTTCTTTCAGGCTTTCAGAACCAGCAGTTTCTTCAACTATATCTTTTTCATTATCTCTTTGATAGTTTACAATGTACTTTTTTATGCAATTCTTATGACAGTGGATACCTGCAGCAAATACACTATTCACATCTTCCATCAAAGCTGTTCGTTGAAAAACTGCATCAAGGTAAAACCGCGACGCTTTTAGTAGTTGCTCTGCTCTGAACTGCTCACAAATACGGTACAGTTTCGAGTCTCCTTGTACTTTTGATTTATTACACACTATACATTTTTTTAACCGTCCACTATGTCCAGGTATACTTTTACGTCTCTGTCGTTGGGTAGTATTATCCTCTTCCAATCTTGAGTCTTCAACATATTTTTCTTGTCTTTCTTTAAATCGTTTTCCTTTCAATATGTAAGGTCTGTAGCAGGCTAAATGATACTTTATGCTATTTTCATCTTTAATGCCTTTCAACACATCGTCCTTAATAACTTCAGTTGCACTTTTAATGTTTTTTATACCTTTTTCGCTTGAACTTAATTGCAAAGGACGTTTGACTTTTTTACAGAAAATGCACAAGTCAATGTCTTCATCAACGTCTCTACGTCTCTTTCTATGGTGGACCAGATTCACGGTGTCACTCATCTTATTTCACTTGAAGTTTATCTACTCTTTCTGAGATGTGAATAAACTTTATTTATAAGTAAATACTTATTGAGTAAAGTAAATACTAATTGTTAAGTAAATTAAATACTTATTTAGAGGTGAGTAAAATTTTACATTAAATTAACATTGTGTGCTTAAAGTAAATAGGTACTTATAGAAAAAAGTAAACTCTTAAAAAAAGAAATTACTTATGTTTAATTCAAATTGGACTATTTACTTAAGATAAGTATAAGTAAATACCTACTTAAAGTTTATTCACATCGCAGTTTATAAACGTGAGAAATAACCTTGCACTAAAACCAACCATATTTTACCAACTAAACAAACAAACAAAAACAAGAAACCGTAAACAATGAATCAGACATGTAAACAGCTGACAGTTTATATCGCTAGCGACAGTAGCGGAGCGAAATACTGGGGCTATCGATACTTTTAAGCTTTTGGAACGAATGGACGCATTAACCAACAATTATTTCCACAACGTTACTGGAAATATTATAAATGTTAATTAATATTAATAAATAATGGGTTTAGCAAAAAAGTGTAAATACAAAAATTTTTTGCAATCACATAAGGAGTAAAATGAGCTTTAGAATATTAAAATCGGACCACTGGGTGTGGAGATACGTATTAGCAAATAATTTAGCGTTTTGGCGGCCATTTTCCAATATGGCGGCCAAACGACCATGATTTGGACCACGTGACCAGTATTTTTTTAAGCTCCCAAAGGTGTTAAACAAAACCCCACAACAAAACTGAGGGCACATTAAAGTGCACACGGGACTTTGCCTAGCTCCTAGACTATTGACATTGTGACCGACATTTTTGTAAAATTTCCTTTCATTTTCATTTTTATTTTCCACGGCAATGCCATTTACAAAATACAATCAGTTAAGATTATAATAAGATTATATAAATACAAAACATTAAATTACAACAAAACAATATTTCATCAGCAATAACATCGATACAATCGATCAACAATAACAGCTATAAACTATGACATAACAATAACAAGGCATAAGAATAATAATAACGATAACAATGATAATAAAATGCATGTCTGAATCGTGTGGTAGGATGTCTGAGTTTTAAACAGCACAGCATCAAATGTTTCTACGAATATACTCTAGTATGTCAAAAGACGTTATCTTTACATGGAAGTCACGTAAGGGGGGGGGGGTTAGGGGGAGCCACCAATCAACTTTGAAAATTGTATTTTGGGAAGTTTGAAACTGTCATTACACTGTCGACTTTGAAGTTTACTTTTAAACTAAGCAGGCATCTACCCTTACGTATAGGATAATTATTTAAGTAAAAAAACTGTTGGAAATGTCTATCTTGTAGGTACATTACGTAACGTATCTGTAGTACACAGTAATTAAAAGCCCTTGGATCCAAGACGTTCTGACTCATGAAACAATTAAAGAACTTCAAAGAAAAATTCTATTCTCACAGTATACTAGATATTTAAATTACAATCACTCTGATGTTTGAAAAAATGATTTGTGATAGTAAATAACTCTTCAGTGGCTTTTTGAAATTTACGGAATTAACATTGGTCTTATGGCGGGCAAATCCAAGATGGCCGTTGGCTTCCATGGACTCCCTTGGATAACAATTCAATACTACAAAAAACATTTCTAATTCCACAGTATACTAGATATTTAAATTATAATCACTTCGGTGTTTAAAAAATATATTTTCGGACGATAAATAACTTAAATAACTCTTCAGTAGCCGTTTGAAATTATGCAAGATAACTTCTAGTTTCGAAGGAATTTTAAAGGCTTTTAAGAGAATTTTTCTGAGCTGCACGTGGAGAGACGTATTCATTAAGGGTCTTTAAAATGATTTTAGGAGACTGTCCACTTAATGTATTATTGATCAGTAAGCATACAGTGTAAATATTTGTCGAGACACTTTAGACACAATGAAACATCAATTTCTTGTTATTTGTGTCAGCTATAAAGAGGCTTAATTGGTAAAATAGTCTTTCTACTATTAAAACTTAATAATTAGTTAGGAATAAATTTGAGTAATGTATTTGGGATATTCGAGTAGTATAGTTGGGAAATTCGTGCAATATATTTGCGAAGTCCACGTAAAATAGTTGGGAAAATCTACGTATCCCCCCCCCCCCCTTATATCTTTTCGAGCGACGCCCCTGTGCTATCATGCAACGTTTATAGTTACCGTATTATAATTATGTTATGTAATTTTAAGAAACTTAATACAAAATGTTTTGCCTTTGGGAATGGAATAGATTGAGTTTTACACGATTACTTTAATTTACGATTACGTTACTTTTGTACTAGTATAGTATCAGATTGTTTCTTTAAAATATTAGTTGGGAACTTATTAAGTACTAAGGCAACTTTTAATCTTATTTTTATTAAGTTGATTTTAATCCAGTTTATTTTGGTAACGTTTCCAACAGTAGGCTAATATTATGTTCTATTAGCAGAAGTGAAACGTTTTTAAAACATTCTTACTCTTTTCGTTTCATGATTTCGATGGATAGCTTGATATATATTTTTTACAGTTTCTACAATCTTACATTGTTTTATTATCAAGTCAGTTTGAAGGATCATTTTCCATTTTCAGGGATGGAACGACGTCAGTTTCCACGGGTCTGACCAGATCCCCACCCCCAACATTGACTCTCTGGCATACAATGGGGTGATTCTCAACAGACACTACACTCAGCCTCTGTGTACTCCTTCCCGGGCCTCCCTCATGACTGGCAATTACGCTGTGCACACAGGTAAGTCTGACCAGATCCCCACCCCCAACATTGACTCTCTAGCCTACAATGGGGTGATTCTCAACAGACACTACACTCAGCCTCTGTGCACTCCTTCCCGGGCCTCCCTCATGACTGGCAAATACGCTGTACACACAGGTAAGTCTGACCAGATTCCCAACCCAACATTGACTCTCTGGCCTACAATGGGGTGATTCTCAACAGACACTACACTCATAACCGCAGGGGGCCCACGCTTGCGTGGGTTCGTGGCCTGGGCGACCACGCGGACCCTAGCTCTCCCAGAGGGGAGGTAATTGCCCGGTGTTGGAACCGGCACTTCAGGTAGACCACAAGCTATGGACGACTGGACAAGCCAGCCTCTTTGGGTTGTACCCAAAGTAAGAGTACCCAGTGACATTCCCTCCATTCAGGGTGGTGGGGTGTTCAGCTCTGCTAGTGTTGATTAAGTTCATAGATCTTTCACCTGCCTGTAGCTTGTGGTTGTGACTGAGTCCTACCTGTTGTGTACGACTGACATTTTGTGAGGCATATCCTCGACTTTGGAAGTAGCCTCGTCCTGGGAGGTGAAATACCTAGCCCCCAGAGGGGAGGTAAATGCTCGGTGTTGGTATCGGCATTTTCAAGTAGGCCACAGACATGGACGACTGGGCATTGGGTCCCAGTGACATTCCTTTATCCAGAATGGAGGGGTGTTTAGCTCTAGGAGAGATGGAAGTGCATCATATTCTCTAACCTACCTGTGTCTGTGGTTCTTTGGGCTTCGGCCTGCTTGTTGTGTGCGACCAGCATTCAGTGGGCAAATCCTCGACTTTGGAAGTAACCTTTCCTGGAGGTGAAAACGGGCAAGTACCCGCAGCTCACGGGGACACTCAAGGGCAACGTAACTTTCCGCAGTGTGAGGGCAACTGTTTGTAGGCACTTATGCAAACCAATCCCTGTCTCTGAGCACGGACGGTATGGTTATCTTGAGTGTGGGGGGTTCTTCCCGGAACCTCAATTGAGTCAAGGGTGTCGCCACCTCTGGTGGATAGGTTCATCCGGGTGGGTCCCACTTCTATACCTGCCTCCTTTTGGGAAACCCTGATGGCCTGGCAGTGATGTTGGGTCTGACGGGCAAACGAAGTAGATCGGGTGCTGGGTCCGAGCCCGCCAGGGGTATCTGGGGATCTATCGCTCTGGTTATCTCTGGTTTCCCAGCAATGGGTAAGGCCTCGATCGGGTAGTGGTGTAAATGGGAGGTTGGGGTTCCCCCCGTCAGCGTGCTGACGGTCCCCTTCCTCCTGGCTATTGATGGCGGGTTCTGCCTGTCAGGGATTAGATAGGTACCGAGTGTTGCTTGCACTAAATGCGTCGGGGCGCTCTACCATGGACCTCTAGGTCCCGACCTAGTGGAACCCAGGTGGAGTGACGCTTAAACAAGCAGCCGGAATCCCTGGTTAGGATTGAGGGGCAACCCTCCTTCCGAAGGGTCTGCTTCGGCATCCGGCGAGCCTGATGACCTTAAGTCATCCGCCCATGATGTGCTAAAGGTTGATGCTTAAGCTTCGGCCTACATCATGGGGCCCGGGTATGTCCTCAAGGATAGGTACCGGGTATGCAGTCAGGGGGCTTCGGCTCTCATGACAAATAATGTAGACACTACACTCAGCCTCTATGTACTCCTTCCCGGGCCTCCCTCATGACTGGCAAATACGCTGTGCACACAGGTAAGTCTGACCAGATCCCCACCCCAACATTGACTCTCTGGCCTACAATGGGGTGATTCTCAACAGACACTACACTCAGCCTCTGTGTACTCCTTCCCGGGCCTCCCTCATGACTGGCAAATACGCTGTACACACAGGTAAGTCTGACCAACCTACAATGGGGTGATTCTCAAACGCTGTGCACACGGGTAAGCCATATACAAGGACAAACATCATATCTTCCTTTTCATATTAATCTCTACTTATAGTGCTTATGTTATGTTATTATGTCAATGTAATGTTATGTAATGTTAACTATACAAATATTGAATACAGACTAAATTGTAGATTTACGAAGGCATATATTTATGTATTAAGTTAAGCTTTATAAGCTGCAAGAACACCAACTAGTACCAGATAGCACTTGGACTTGTGCGTGCAGCGCTCTATCTAGGTGGGGAAGTAACACGTCTATAGGTGTGGGGGGTAACCGTCAAAAGTATTTCTTCACGTTTTGTCACGTAATGCAGGTTGTCTCGTTTATAGCCGTTGGTGCCGTAGATAATTTTCTTGACAGTATAAGTCTATCTGAAACCCGGTTATTGAGGTTTTACACATTTTGCAGGCCTTCACGATGCGCTTAAGCCAACTGACAGAGTCGGACTTGGTATTTCACAGAAGATTCTTCCTCAGTATCTGAAGGAGCTTGGATACTCCACTCATCTGGTGGGCAAATGGCATCTCGGGTTCTACAAGAAGGAGTTTACACCTTTACAGAGAGGGTTTGACTCTCACTTCGGCTACTGGTCTGGAGCTATCAGTTACTACGACCACATCGATGAAAACCCGGTAAGCTTCTTTCACCCCAGTCCCGAAAATGTTATACTTTTTACAGATGCACAACGTAATATCGTCACAAACTTATATTTACTCCAATTTAATTAACATTACAAATAATTACCATATTGAAAGGTGAGTGAAGGGTGTAGGATTTTATTTGTGTTTTTTAACTGGCTAAGGCCATATGCTTCTTCAGCCAGGATCATTAATTAAGTTCGAGGATATCCAAAGCAAATTTGAACTGTCAAATGTGACTGCCTTTTAGCGAATTTCCCTATAGGGAAGTAGCTATTACCGTAGGTCTCATGGTAAGACTTAGGCCCGGGACCGATTTACTTTTTAATTTTGATGTCCCCAGAGGCCAAAAACACCACTCGTTCAAATTTTTATATATGTATATATATATATATGTATATATGTATATATATATATATATGTGTGTCCGTGAACACGATAACTTGAGTAATTTTTATCCGATTTTGATGAAATTCGGTTTGACGGTGTAAGGCGGGATAAACTTGAATGAGTTCGCGATCCAGCATGATCGGACCATGGGAACAGGGTTTTATGGGGTAAAAATTGGTTTTTCTCACTTTTGACCCTTAAAACACAATATTTTCCAATTTTTCTCTAAACCTTAAAGAGCTTAAAAAACAAACAATTCAGTATATCAAAGTGTTTTTGTACGGTTATTGGTTACGGAGAAAACTAAAAAAAATGGTAAATTTAAAATTCCCATGTTATTCTTATGGAGAATATTGTAAAATGTTGTAGTTTGCTTGTTTATGGATATCTTTTGATCAAACTTGGCAAATATATTCATTTTATACTAAGCAATAATTATTTTACTTAAAACACACACTTTATTAGTTTCCTTGTAGCAGCAAACCTAGGTACTCGTTAAACCTAATGTTATTTAAATAGATCAATTGAAAATCAATTCAGCCAAATGGAAATTCGCTAAGGCGTCAGGTTTGCTGCGGCGGGGGTATTTTAGTATCTAACACACTTTAAAAATTACTAAACGACTCTAACCACTCTGCTGACCGGCGCTTAATGTATTTTCGAAACGGTCTCATTGAACGTAACCATTTCCTCTTCTACTCTATCGTAATCTAATTTAAATCAAAATTACGCTTTTAGCCAACCCCGGACAGGAAGTACAACTACAGCGGCCACGACATGAGGAGAGGCTACACCTCGGCGTGTGACGTGGTAGGTCAGTACGCTACAGATCTGTTCACCAGAGAAGCTGTCCGTGTGATAGAGAGCCATAAGCCAGACAGGCCGATGTTCATGTTCATGGCTCACTTGGCCTCTCACGCTGGGAACCAGGGCAAGTGGCTAGAGGCTCCTCAGGACGAGATAAACAAGTTCTCCTACATCAGCGATCCCAACAGGAGGACGTTTGCAGGTATTAATCCTGGTGCTTATACAAGCTTGAAAAATCAAGACATTTTATGAAAAAAAACATATTTTTTGGACAGGTGCAAGGCTTTTTTGGATATGAACGTACTATGGGGGACTGGTTCAAAATAAGCTGTGTGTGATTAAAATATACAGTGTAAATGATATAGCTTGTAATTTCTGGGGCGCAGTGATTTATGTTTAGTTTATTTCAGGTCTGTGACATTTTTACTGTCAATAAATACAGTAGATTTATATATATAATTACTGTACGATAAATTATCAAAAAATAACTTCTTGATAAATTGTCATCCTGCTCACATAATGTCAATACCATTGATTATTTTATAAACATATTACTACGATAAATTAATTTGACATCGATTAAACTGGTCATGAATCAAAATATATCAGTTGGTATAATACTGCTTTGGTCATTTTCGAGTGTGGACTGGATGATATTGAATAGATGGTTCCAAAAAACTATTTAGTGTTTTTTTTTCGTCCTGAATCTAGCATCTTTTTAATAAGAGAACTGATATTTTTGTAAACTAAATTACCGGTATTGCAGTTTTAAATAGTTTTAACGAGAGGAAAGTTCTTAAGTCTTAAAGTTTTTACCTGACGGTAAAAAGTTATCATCTTACGTAAACAAAAACCAGTAACTACTAGCACTAGTAGGTTCAAAACTAGCCCGATTGTCCTAAAAAATTGGAAATTTGTTACACGATCCTTTCTCAATAAACGGCTGATCTTTGTCATTAACAAAACTATACAGATCATCCAACTGAATTCTACAGTCATAATATTGCTTTAAGTTTGCTGCTAGGTGGCATTTCTGTCTCAAAAGGTCCCATAGGAATGGTAATATTTACATTACGCATAACAGTGTAGCCAACTCTAATGATTTTCCAAATTGTTTCAATCAAATCAAATCAAATCAAAAATCACTTTATTCAGCTTTATAAATACATGAATACATTATTAGTGGCAAGAATAGTGTTCCCCCGAATGGACTGCAAGTCCGTGCTCGAGGGAAGAGCTCTTACCAGCAGATGTTTTGGTCATTGTCCAAATAATAATTATAATTGTTGTAGCAATGGTATCCAAGCTGGACGAGTCTGTTGGAGCGGTGATCACTGCATTAGACAAACGGGGGATGCTAAAGAACTCGATAGTTGTGCTTCTGGCAGACAACGGCGCCCCGAACCTGGGACTCTACAACAACTGGGGCTCAAACTTTCCCTGGAGGGGGGTAAGTAACAGATGATTGACAACAAACATAGCGTAAGGGTTGTAGTTTTTTTTGGAAATGAAGAAAGGATGGAATGTTTTTACATCTTTCTTTCTTTTTTAATAAATGGCGACCATACAAAGTAGGTATTTTATGTCAAGTACGAATGAAGATGAGTGTAGGATGAGTAGCGTGATCTTGTAGTCTTGTTAGTGACTAAGGTTGACATTCCTTAGACATAGCTGTTAATTAATAGCCCATACAGCTAATGACAACTAAGGGACCTACAGTTTATAGTGGAATCCAAACCACATTTTTGCCTTGGTATCAACAAATTGGTCTAATTGTTAGGATAGTACTGCGGATAGTCGTAGTACTCACTAGTGCGGACGTTAATCCACACCAGGGAGTATCGCATCCACAGTGCATGCCTATAAATATCGCATTGATCATCCACAAAGCCTGTGCTATGAACGCATCAAGCAAAAAACCTTACTCGAGCTGATAAAGTACAAGATAAATCTGCTATCATCCATTTCTAATTCGCTGTACTCATTATATCGACAGTACTAAGACTGTTAAATATTTATAGTTGAAGGGCCAACCAACAAAGTATATATGACCTATATGCCATGCTTACTGAAAATTACATTTTAAACCGATTGCAACTTCAAAAGTCCAAACCTAAATATCTTTGACATAAAACAAATCCTGTGGTCTAAAATAGTGTGTATAAAATCAGTCAAAGCCCCGTTAACATCTTCTTCGCAAAAAGAATAATATCACAAAACATACCATTTACTTTACAATATACGTCTGCTCGCTGAATTGAAATAGAGTCTTCTTTCAGCAAAAAGCCAGTCTATGGGAGGGTGGTGTCCGGACCCCTTGTCTCATATGGAGTCCACTGATAACCAACCCCTCTCGAGTGAGCCACACCCTCATGCATGTCGCTGATTGGCTGCCTACACTGCTGAGTGCCGCAGGTGAGTAACCATGTGATATTGATTTGTCTTCATAACCGGAGGTTACTGGTTTGATCCCAAACTATGCCAATTCTTGAATTAGATTTTTAGTAAAGTTAATTAATGATGCAGCACGGTAGTGAGACGATCATATTTAGTTACCTAAAAGCAAACTTTAATGCATGCACAAGCGTTGAAACATAAAAAAATTTAATCCTCAGTATCCCCATAGTTTGTTATGAAACAAACGACTTGGCTTTTATCTGAAACACTCCAAGGTCACATAAAAAGAAGAATAAATAAAAAGAGATTACGTAGCAATCTGGTCCGTCAAATGACACACAGTCTGTACACACACTAATGAAGTAGTCAACAAGATTTTATTGGTAGAGAATTAGGTGTTTACCATATGAATATTACAAGTAATTTAGAATGTGATTATTTTTCTGGGTAAACTACAATACAAGTATATGCAGTGCTGTCTAACAAAATAAAATTAGAACGAACAATGGTATTTTCTTAAGCTTAATAGAGAGTTATGAGGAAAACATTTTTGAGAAAGTAAGAATTAAAGAGAGAAAATTACATGTGTTTAGTACCATGAATACACAGCAGTAGCTAATCGTTAATAGGCTCAATAATAAGATACCTACATTTGAAAATTGATACAGTTGCCGGACTAAGATTAATCATCGCTCTATAAAGGCCACATAACGGAAATGTTCATTGACCTTTAACCTATGTTCTTTACTTGTGTGTAATATAATTACTGGTGTGTAAGCTGCACATGCTATAGTTCGGCCGCTTAGAAAACGACCTGCGCGCTAATGCTAAACCAATGCTGGAGGAGGTCGCTTTCTAAGCGGCCGAACTATAGAGAAGTAATTTAAAACGTAATAACTAAGGTGTCAAGCCTACGTTTATAAACTAAATATCTAATCTTATTACCGATTTATATGCTCAGGTCACAAGGGAAGAGTATCGGGTATAGATGGAGTCGATCAATGGGAAGCGATTTCAAGAGGACGCTGAACTCCACGGCACGAACTAGTGGTGGATATTGATGATCAAAATGAAATGGCTGCCATGATCTTCAGATCTTATAAATACGTAAAAGGTATTTTATTTATACAGTTCTTGATGCATTTATTTAAAGAAAACTAATTTAAATATATGTTAAGTAAACAACATAACAAATCCATGTTACCAAAAATTTAAAAAAAATACGATTAGTTATACTTGTAGTTGATAAAGATACTCAACTGCTACTCATAGCCAAGTATATCTATCTGAATTGTGATTTAAACATTTAATATACAGAAGTAATGTTCTATGAACATCCAGTATCCCTAAGTAAGTCTTTTAATATTACCCAAAGTGTTTTCCCAATTCTAATACATATACATTTTTATTTTTGGGGTTTAACCTTATATTTTAAGTGTATTCCAACACTTGTCATGGTAAGAAGTAGAAGCAAGATTGCATGGCCAAAATATGCTCTTAGTTCTTGGTCTTCAGGAGTGACCGGTCGTTGAAAAGGCCAAGATGTGTTGCAGAAATCCATCAATGCAATTCACCTAATTTAGAGCCGATTTGGTTAAACTATTTAACCCAGAGATCTATTGCTGTTACGCATTTAAAGCTTTGGTCAGAAATTTCGGAAAGTTCCCGAGCACCAAGATTTTGCCGATTATAATAACCTGCAATAAGTAAAATAGAATCAGCCATGGCATTAATCAATTAAAACTAACATGATTTCAGGGGCGAACAGAAGAGGAAGTAACCCTGCGTTAAACACATTCTTGAGTACTGAATATATATTTTCTCCAAGACAACCGAGATACAACGTCAACGCCGTGGTCCTCTCCCCAGCATGGGTTGCGGTGCAGAAATACTCCAGACCTGGAGCTCAATACAGGATCTTAGGCCTCAGGAGGGCGGCGACTGTAGTCTGTCAACATGACTTTGACAAGCAGCTCAACTGTTCAGACAGTCCTTGTCTGTTCAACGTCATTGATGACCCTTGTGAACAATACAACGTGGCAGGTGCTTACCCTCAACTTGTCAACTACATCGAGCAAGCCAGGCTCAATGAGTACAGAGTTGGCGCTGTTGAAATCACTGTAGAGGAGGACCCAGCTTCCGATCCTGAAAGGTTCAATGGGGATTGGAGCATATGGGTTACTTGAGATACTAGGAATGACTACTTCAGAAGTATAGCGAAAACATTAGTACAAGATGAGAGTATGAATGAATAACCAAATTAAGAAAAACATTTATTGTTTAACATTGCTACAAAGGTATTCAAAATGTACCACTATTTTACTAGTTAAATAAAATTATTTACAACTTCTTTTTAATATTTGTAAAATGTATATATTTATAAATATACGGGTATGTAAAACATAACAATATTGAAGTTCTTTAATCCCGTCCTAATAGGAATAAGACATATGATGGATTTGGTTTTTGTCCAAAGAACTTTGAATGTGTTAATAAATCGTTTGTATGAGAAAAAACTTCCAATCTTACAATTTATTTTCGGTAAAAATGTGTAGGCGTAGAGCTATTATGTCTAAAAAACATGTAGAGCTATTGGGTTTCAACAAAACTAAACATTTGTATCAAGAGATTTATTCCAATGATATACTTAATTCAATATGTATTTTAATTACAATTTTGAAAGTCCTATAGTTTAGTTCTTGGCAAGTTGAACTCTTTACTAATAGTTCAGTGAAAATTCAGTATATTTCAAAAGTAGTGCTGGTCCTTGTATGACTTACTAAAAGTGATGAATAGCGATAAATTTAGAAAGTATGAATTAAATATCTACACTTGTAACAAAGTTACTAATTTACTTTAGTTTATAAAAATTGCACTAGAGTATGAAAAATATTAGTTCAATGGTATTAAACAACATTAAACATTATTACTTTTTTATCCCTTCAACAATCTCTCTTCACTACATGTTCAGTCAAGTAGGTGTTTTCTATGAAAATATAGACACGATTCTCGAGAAGCCTAGGCATAACATGTTGGCAGGAAGTTTCAACATGTGTTTGGTTCCCGTAGTACTTAATTACAAATGCCAAAGTACTGTTTACCTTCACTTTAGGCTGTTGAGAATTAATTAGTACGTATTGTTATCAGCCTTAACTTTCAGTTGGTCTTAATATATTTTCAGTTACAGACAAATATAGTTATGGTGTTGGACCTTAATTCTTTTAACTTTAATCTAACCTAGTAGTTAGGGGCGATACTTTGGGTGTAACAAGGGCTCTTATGGGGAATAGATTTAATGCCTTATTTTTTGACCACTGTAATATGTATAACTTTTTAGCTATCATTTAACTGTTAATGTTCATGTTTTTAACTAATGTATGTTTTAACTAACTAATATTTTTAACTAACTAATGTTTTTTAACTAACTGATGTTTTTAACTAATGGTTGTTTGGTAATATCCATACAACATCTATACATCTTTTATAGGTAGTAGTAGGATCCCCCCGGATCGCGGACAAACTACCCCTAGAGTGGTAGTTTAATTCTCAGAGGTAGTGAATACATATATGTTGAATGTTAGGGGTTGTTAGGGGTAGTTTTATGTTTACATAGGAGTTATCAGTTGATCATGTGACCTTTTTATGTATTGCATATGTAGGTATTTTTATTAAACTATTTTGTGGATAAAAAGTGTGAATCCTGACCGGGTATCGAGACCCGCTCTCCTAGATGTTGTTCCAATGCCCTATCTATAGGGCTATGATGTCAGTTATAGGTATGGTGTTTATAGTGGTAAATAATAACTTTGATTTCTTAATTACATATATAGGGTGTGTAAAAAAAACATTATATTTTAATTTTATTTTATACATATCTATATGCTTTAGTCTATAGCAATTGTGAAACAAATGATAATTCATGTATCCAATGTTAAAAACAGCTGAAAGAAGGCTTAAGCGGAACTTTACCGTTGAGTATAAAAAATGGCCTTTGTAAAGGCCACCAAATGTTGGATGTTAAATTTATATTTTATATATGTTATGTATTTTTGGGATGATGGGTGGTTTGAATTCATGTTTTTTTTCTAGTGGTTGGTTGTGTATGAAGATGTGTATGAATCAGAGGTTCACGGGTTCGATCCTTAGCAATCACCAAATGCTTTATTTTTGGTCAGGGTGATATGTTGATTTCTGTTATAGTGTTGTATCGTAGTGGGAGTAGTGTGAGTCCTTCTTTGATCTTAGAGGTTCACGGGTTCGATCCTTGGCAATCACCAAATGCTTTATTTCTGGTCAGGGTGATATGTTGATTTTTGTTATAGTGTTGTATCGTAGTGGGAGTAGTGTGAGTCCTTCTTTGATCTTAGAGGTTCATGGGTTCGATCCTTAGCAATCACCAAATGCTTTATTTCTGGTCAGGGTGATATGTTGATTTTTGTTATAGTGTTGTATCGTAGTGGGAGTAGTGTGAGTCCTTCTTTGATCTTAGAGGTTCACGGGTTCGATCCTTAGCAATCACCAAATGCTTTATTTCTGGTTAGGGTGATATGTTGATTTTTGTTATAGTGTTGTATCGTAGTGGGAGTAGTGTGAGTCCTTCTTTGATCTTAGAGGTTCACGGGTTCGATCCTTAGCAATCACCAAATGCTTTATTTCTGGTCAGGGTGATATGTTGATTTTTGTTATAGTGTTGTATCGTAGTGGGAGTAGTGTGAGTCCTTCTTTGATCTTAGAGGTTTATGGGTTCGATCCTTAGCAATCACCAAATGTATTTTTACTGGTTAGGGTGATATGTTGATTTTTGGTATGGTGTTGTATTATAGTGTGAGTCCATCTTTGATCTTAGAGGTTTGCGGGTTCGATCCTTACCAATCACCAACTGCTTCTCTTCTGGTCAGGGTGATATTTTGAGTGTTAGTATTGAAGTAGGAGTAGTTAACTTGTTTAGAATGTGAACCTATGATCCCGGAGGTTTGAGGGTTTGATCTTTATCAATAACCAAATGTTTTATTTCTGGTTGGGGTGATGAATTGATTCTTGGTATGGTGTTGTATTGTAGTGGGAGTTGTGTGAGTCTTTGATCTCAGAGGTTTGTAGGTTAGAATCCTACCAGTTATCAATTATCTCATTTCTGGTTATGGTATTAACTTGTGTTTTAGTATGGTATTAAGAGTTTATGTGTGAGACATCGTTTCCTGAGGTTGCGGGTCCGATCCTTACCAGACAATGATTGTTTTATTTCTGGTTGGGGTGTTTTTGGTATGGTATTGTATTGTAGTGGGAGTAGTGTGAGTTCCTTATCTTAGAGGTTTGTGGGTTTGATTCTAGCTAATCACTAAACGTTTTATTTCTGGTTAGGGTGATATTTTGAGTGTTAGTATAGTGTTGTATTGTAGTGGAAGTAGTGTGAGTCCTTGATCCCAGAGGTTTGTGGGTTTGATCCTCACCAGCCACTGTTTGTATCATATCTGATTGGGGTGATTTTTAATGTTGTATTGTAGTTAATTGTTTGTGTATGCCCCCAGAGGTTGTGGGTTTGATTTTTATTATTCAGTGATTGTCTCATTGGTGGTTACTATAGGGTTTACTATATGGTATAGGGAGTTAACTGTTTGAGTGTGAGATCCTGAGGTTATGGGTTTAATCCTTACCAAATACTGATTATTTTATTTCTGGTCACTATGATTTTGTATGGTGTTGTATTGTAGTTAACTGTTTGTGTATGAGTCTAGGGTTGAGGGTTTGCATCTTATCAGTGAGAGTAACATTTTTTATGGCTGTGTAATATGTTCCTGTCAAATTAATCAGCTATGACTTTTACTGTAAAGATTGTATCTGTAATATAACCTTACTTGTATATGTAGGCTGTGTGTTTTTCTGCCAATGGTTTCTGTTAATATATTAACCTTACTTGTGTATGTAGGAGCTGTCATCTGCTTTATCGTCAACTGTATTGCTAAATGATATAACCTTATTTTATGTACTGTGTATGTTGTCTATTTTCCCCGCCAACTGTTACCGCCAATTGA